AATCTAATTTTAAAACAAATTAAAGGAATATACATACATTTTCCGAGCAACGTCTGTTTCTCTAAACTGTTCTTTCACCATCGTGAAGGTTATATTATTCCCTGATATTTAATGTATTATTTAGCACGACTTTATTTATAAATATTATACAATACAAAAGAACCAAATTGCAAGTTATTGCAAAGCATATATTAATTTTTGTATATAGATAAATTATTTAAACAGTTAAAAGAAGTCTGGGTTTCCTTCATGCACGTGCTGTTTTATGTTTGCGATGCCATCTCGAATTTGACAGTTTCGGTTTTACCCGCATTATGCTTATTAAAGCATCTGAAAGACACATTTGAGTTATTGTTGGATATGCGATAAATTGTTTATTTCTTTTTATTAAATTGAACTCTACACAGTACTACATTTTACATATAACATAAATTGTAATTGCGTATTGCGAAAGCACGTGTTGATTTACGTGGTATGCATGAGTAGAATATTTTTAATTCTACATATATGTTTATCTTTTTTATGTAAGATATCGTTCAATCGTCCAAAATATTATATTTCTATCTGATTTCAACGTAATTGAAACATGCCACGGGTAAGTTTTGAAGTTTATGATCGAATAATAACGCTTGAGGTTAGGAATGTTAGTTTTGAGCGGTATATATTTCAAATATTGTTTGTCGAAATTTAAATTGTCAATTTTACAAAACCTGATTATTTTTTATTTCTTTTAGGATATACGGTCCTATTTTGGAACTGTTAAAACAAGTTCTTGCGTTACTCCGGCAAAAGCCGCAAAAAGACGTGTCATTTCATCTGATGAGGATGATGAAAAATTGCAGTCTCCAGTTAAGCAATCCAAGGTTTTAACATATGTTTTCAACTATAATTTAGATTTGTAAAGTTTTAAATTTTACACTTCATTCTTAGAATGTAGAACCATGATTTTATGTCATGATTGAACAATGATAATAAAGGATATTCTGACTGTATTTTAGAAAAAAAAGATATTAGAACAGGAAAGTATTGAATTTGGTTCTAAAGAGGATGTTAAACAACAAAAGATTGTTTCTCCTGCTGATATTTTTGGTAAAAATCCAATAAATAGACAGGAAGCACCTAAAATACCAAAAAAATTGCAAAAAAAGGTAATGTATTATTATTTTACTAATATTATACTATAATTATTTGTTTTATTTACTTTTATAGGAA